TATATATATATATATATATATAAAAAAAACAGCAAGTAGCAAATAAATTTTATTGCTATTAACACAATAAAATTGTATGTTTTATTTACAGCTTAGAAATATTGTTTACAGTGCTAAAGGCATAATTATTTTTTATTATTTATTAATGTAATATTATTATTATTATTATTATTATTCACTAAAGGCAAATGACTTATATACAATAAATAAACTGTAATAATGAAACTTAAAATATCATCTTCCATTCACTTTTCAAAAAAAAAAAAAGATAATTAAACAAAATATATACTTCAAGAGAATGTTATTTGTGCTTTTGTTGTGCTTATGTTTTGCTGTGACTTACTTGAGGAATTTATTCTATATCACATGTCTATGTTTCCATCAGGGTGATCAAGGACAAGCTGGCCCACCTGGACCTCCAGGCCCTCCTGGAGCACCCGGTGCAAGAGGGCCCCCAGGAAACACAGGGAAGGACGGTCCCCGCGGCCCACCGGGAGAATCGGTAAGACGCTCCGCTCATTTTACCTGCTTCTGTGATGCCTTAAAAAAGGGGTCATCTCATTATACACAAAAACTTTTATTTTGGATGCGATGAATCATTGCCCAGCACTACAAAAAATAAATAATAATAATGATCCTGGAAATACTGTATTACATTTTTTTTTATGAGATTCACCATTTTAGATGTATAAGAATCGACAGATTGTCAATATACACTAAAATTTGGTGTAGAATTTACTTTGAAATGATCTTTACTTAGAAATTGCTGATAGATTTTATGCTATTAACACAATAAAATTGTATGTTTTATTTACAGCTTAGAAATATTGTTTACAGTGCTAAAGGCATAATTATTTTTTATTATTTATTAATGTAATATTATTATTATTATTATTATTATTCACTAAAGGCAAATGACTTATATACAATAAATAAACTGTAATAATGAAACTTAAAATATCATCTTCCATTCACTTTTCAAAAAAAAAAAAAGATAATTAAACAAAATATATACTTCAAGAGAATGTTATTTGTGCTTTTGTTGTGCTTATGTTTTGCTGTGACTTACTTGAGGAATTTATTCTATATCACATGTCTATGTTTCCATCAGGGTGATCAAGGACAAGCTGGCCCACCTGGACCTCCAGGCCCTCCTGGAGCACCCGGTGCAAGAGGGCCCCCAGGAAACACAGGGAAGGACGGTCCCCGCGGCCCACCGGGAGAATCGGTAAGACGCTCCGCTCATTTTACCTGCTTCTGTGATGCCTTAAAAAAGGGGTCATCTCATGAAAATTGTACAGGCTACAACAGGATTATTTGAATCTTATTTGAATGCTCAAATATAACAACTCAAATCACAGAACAGACTATATCAGATCCAGTCAAGGCAAATAAATGTTTGCATAACCTCTGAAAGATATTGACAGATCTTACTCTCTTAATTGAAAATCAGTTTCATAAATCATATGTGCATTTTCATAAATGATAAGTGCATTCACAGTGGCCTGAAACAAAGGTGTAGAAACATGGTGTAGAAAAAATTTGCAAATAATTACAGAGAAACAGTGAGTAACAATGTAAAAAGTTGAAGTAGAAAGACTGAAATAGTATTTTCTTGTAAAATGTCCTCCAATAATCTTTGTTTTATTCAACCCCTTGAAAAAATAATTTTACAGTGGATTTGGACACTTAAGCCATACTTAAACTTAACTGAAATAAAACTACACATCAAGACTAAAAAAGTGTACAGCAAAACTAAAAAAGTTCATTTAATTAAACAAATGATATTTTGCTGAACCCCAAATCTCAAAAGCATAATGGAAACTTTTCTAAATGTCCATCACAACTTAACAATAAACACTAAAAAGTCTTTCTCTTTACTGAAAAACATACAAAATTACACTTAATTTTAATATTTATTCTCTGAGTGCAGTCCCATGCAAAGCATACCGGGAACTACAAATCTACTGCCCAGTTTGTTACTGTTTGTCAACAAAACTGACTCATGATTCATATAGTCTCAACAAAAAAATCATTACGTCGCAGCTTAAACATAATGAAATGAAGACATGATGAAAATAAGCCGTGACAAATGTTCAAGAAGTGTGTTTGTTCAGCTCATTGTAACAGAGTCATTTTAAAAAGTTAAATATGTTAACAAATGTAGTGTGTGTGTGTGCGTGCGCGATTTAAAAAAAAAAGCATACACAGAGTAAGCAAATGGTGTAGGGCACCAACTAACACCACAAACTGATTTTTTTATTTTTTTTACCTAGGGGGCCCTAATTGTACAATTGGATTTATCTGAAGCTGTTTTTGTACTATAGCAGCATGTGGTTTACAACAGTTACAGGTTGTACTTTAAAGGTTAGGCATTAGCGTTGCTCCGCTCTGGCCTCTGTCATCTGACGGTTGTGTTTTGTTCAGCCAGAGGTGATGGAGAGAGAGAGGTTAGAGGGGAAAGGGGCAAATCCAGTTCATCATTCCCCCGGCGGGACGTTTGAAAACCACAGTCTATGCCAGTGCATTTTGGCTCACCTAAAGCTAAACCAAATATAGATTTTAAGGCTCAAGACTCATCTGGTTTGGGTAAGACACGGCCACAGTGTGTTCTTGACGAGCTCTGATGTTCCTGAACGTCCCGAAATGGATAAGATATGGCACGAATCCAGGTTCAGGAACAGTTGTCCCACCATTTCTCGCCTTAGGTCGCTTCAAATTAAGTTAATCCTTTTTAGTTTCTTATCATGAAGGCAGTTTAATTTGGACTAAAAGTGAACTGGAAATGGTTTTATTTCACTCAAACTGGGCTGGTTCTCACTGGCATACTGGTCTGTCAATTTTGTTTTGCAATACCAGGCAGAAATTATTCCTGCATAGCGGCAAGTTATGAGAGGCATTACATACTCTCTTCTGTGGAAGTCTGAAATGTCGCTCTTATTAGACTGTTAGTTTCACAAGCCAAGGTTTTGACTATCAGCAGAAAATCTGTAGCATATTATAGATTACTCTGGCCAAGAACCGTTCATTCATATATGAAGAAGCTGTCTGACTGACATTTTAAATTACCAAACTCACTTTGCTTGATTTTACACGACATTTGGGGGTTTGGCAAACATGTGGGGAATCTCATTTACTCAGGATTATCTGCATCAAACTATAGTTTAAATATATATGTGTGTATATGTGTGTGTGTAAACACAAACACACACACACACACACACACACACACGCTACCATTCAAAAGTTTGGGGTCAGTATTTTTTTCAGTGAAATTAATGCTTTTAAAATATATATATATATATATATATATATGTATAAGTAGCCAGTCTTTGGAAATTACACACACACAAAGTAAAAAAAAACAAAAAACGTAAATGCATTAAATACATTAAAGGGTTAATTCACCCAAAAAGGACAATTCTGTCATTATTTACTCACCCTCATGTCGTTTCAAACCCGTAAGACCTTCGTTCATCTTCGGAACAGGGTCAGTATTTTTTTCAGTGAAATTAATGCTTTTTACAGCAAGGATGTAATAATTTGATTAAAAGTGACAGTAAAGACATTTATAATGTTACAAAAGCTCGGACCCTCCCATAGACAGCAAGGTTACTACAACGATCAACGCACAGAAACGTATAAGGACATCAGTAAAATAGTCCATGTGACATCAGGGGTTCAACAGTATTTTTACGAAGCTACAAGCTACTTTTTATGCGCAAAGAAAACAATAATAACATAATTTATTCAGCAATTCTTCTCCCCGAGTTACCGTCTTCCGCCATTTTGGAGCTGTTCTTTTGAACTTTCTATTCATCAAAAATCCTGAAACGTATCATGGTTTCCACAAAAATACAGTTTTCAACATTGATAAAAATACGTTTTCAGCAGCAAATCAGCATATTAGAATGATTTCTGAAGGATCATGAGACATTGAAGACTGTGTAATCAGCGTTGTTTACGTTCAGCACTTTAATTTTTGGGTGAACTAACCCTTTAAATGTGACCATGTTAAGCATTTAGTCACATTTGGCAGTTCTAATATGCATATATAAACAAGGTACTTATGTATATATAAACGAGGTACCAACATCTATACTACCCACTTCAAGCACAAAGTAACACAATTGTGATATCATTTGATGAGTCTAAACACACACAGTAGGCTAAAACAGCACATGCACAAAGAGAGTCTGTGTGACTGTGCAGAAGTAGAGCTTTTCATTAGAGTCCCGTGGAAAAAAACAAAGAGACGAGATGTTCTGTTTGCACAGCTCTACTTTGTCGTCAAGCTTGTGTATAAAGAAATGTTTTATGAAAGCTGAAATCTATGAAATGCTGCACCATGTTGGTCACTGATGTTTCCCTGACATAACAACTTGCTAGCTAGTTATCTCCTGTTGTTGTGTTTTTCACTGGCAAAACCACCTTGTTAAGAAGCACAGCTCGAAGGAAGATGGGGAAAGCGAACAGTACAGTGCTTCTGATTTTCCCAAGCGCTTCCTCTGGTTTTGTTCATTTTTGACAGGGAACAGAAAATTATGTCTCTGTGTATTGTGGCTGAATACCAGCTTTGAAGTCTGCTTGACATAAAATACTACATCTGACTAGATTATGTGTATGCGTATGTGTGCCATGTCTTCATTCATTCTGTTGATAATTTAGGTACAGAATGAAGACAAGAATATCGATTACAAAATGAAAACCATTGCTTGACATCCTAAGTTTATATCATAAAACATTCACCCAGCACATCCTCCAAAAGATGCATGCAGTTATATACACTGAGTATACACTCTCTCTGTGTATGACAAAAACACTCAAAACCTCTGTAATAAAATGATAAGAAACCTATGATAACTTAGCATCAATGTGAGCAGGTGTTTGCTAATGGTGGCTAATATTTGATAGCAAACGTACAACCAAAATGAGATATATCCAGCTGCAGACCCGCACGCAGCCCCACACGTTTCAGGACACACAATCCAGGCCGGAAGTGAGGCGAACCATATATGGTTAACGGTCGCAGTTTTGTAGTGCAATTTTCTTTTGTTAGATGTAATATGAGCTATCCCAAGAATTTTGATAGGATTTACAATATTTAATAATACACAAAATACTAAAAAATTATATTAAAAAAACTATTTTATTTTTTAAATTGATATTCATTTTGATCAGTCTAGTAAACCGTAACATTTTTTTTGACTGTAGGTTATGATGAGATATTTAGGTCATGTTTGTTTTATAACAAATACTTAAAGACACAGAGAATGGACCTTTGATGTGAAGAATACTTTTTATTTTAAAATTCAAATTGAACATGGGAAAAAGTGCAACATACTAATGAAAAAAAAAATTTCAACAACCAAAAATAGAACTAAAATTAAAATTTAGAAATGTAATTGTAATATTAAAAAAAAAAAAAGCTTGAAAGTCTTATACTTTTCACTCTTCAAAAGAAGAATTCAATTTTAATCCCATTTTTTCATGGCATTCAACTAAAAAAATCTCCATGTCTTCACCTGAATGAAAAATTAAATGTGAATGGGTCTCTGCAGTCTTCCACATCTTTGATGAGATTTTGGAGGGACTTTTCCTTGTCATCCTCTTCCATTCTGAGGAAAAGAGGCTCTTCCACAGGGCCCCTGAACACATGTCTATTGGCATGTATCCATTTTACAGCCAGTTTCATGTGTTTGATTATAGTGAGCTCCTTCATTACAAAATGGCAAAGAATAATACAATTTTACTATTTAAACATTTAACTTTTGAACGAATTTTTCATCACAAAATGACACAAAACTTTACTCACCCTGCTCTCCGCCATGTTGTTACGTTTTACTAACTCCGCCCCTCACTTCCGGCCTGGATCGTGTGGTCTGGATTGTGTGTCCTGAAACGTGTGGGGCTGCGGGGCTGCAGCTGGATATTATTGACCAAAATAAGCAAAGTTGTACATCACTGCCCCCTAGTGGTTAAATGACAGACAAATCCATCTCTGCAAAAAAAAAAAAAAAATGCTGTGAAAATTAACTAGGTAATTAATAGTTTGATAACCTATCCTCTCAGCTTATAGGAAATGAAAGGAGTGACAGTTCAAACTTATCAAGTTAAATTTCTAAATAAAATAGGATACAACCACAAGTGGCATGGCTCCAGATTCACCCCAATTCACCCAAAAATGAACATTTGCCTAAAATGGACTCACTCTCAGGCCATCAGAGATGTAGATGGGTTTGTTTCTACATCAGAACAGATTTGAAGAAATGTAGAAATTACATCACTTTCTCACAAATGGATCCTCTGCAGTGAATGGGTGCCATCAGAATGAGAGTCCAAACAGCTGATAAAAACATCACAATAATGCACAAGTAATCCACACAACTCCAGTCCATCAATTAATGTCTTATGAAGAGGAAAGCTGCGTGTTTGTAAGAAACACATTCATCATTAATGCATTTTAATGCTAAACCATCACTTTTGGCCAAATCCACCAACATATTTGTTTAGAACTGTTTTATGTTTTCGCTTATAAATGGTGCTTGATCTGTGCATATCTCTCTCCTGATTCAGACAAGACAACTTTTTCTCTTGAGAATGCAACATTATGGATAGAGGACTCATATTTTACAATTAAATTATGTCTCGATGGAGCTTTGGAATGATGGAATGATGGAAATTTGACTTGACTTGATATTTAATGTGAAACTCATACCACAAACTAACCTAACAAGCCATTTAATGTTAATAATGATGCACTGCAACTGAAGGATTGGCACATGACATTTGGTTCTCCGGTCTCTTTTAAAAAAGAGCTCTGGCATCAATCAAACACTGGCGTACATCTTGAAAGTTTGGTGTATTAAAGTAACTCTTAAATACTTTCTGTCTCTCTAGGGTGCTCCTGGACAAGAAGGAATGGAGGTGAGTGGAACCAGCACTGTTTCTGATCAACATGGTCATGGTCTTCATGGCTCACATTATATTATTGTATGTTACTTTCCTCTGCAGGGACAAAGAGGTCTACCAGGAAAACCGGTAAGATTAAAACATATAAAATCTGTGTGTGTGCTCATCCTTGAGGCCAAGATGTTTCTTGTTTTTTTAGGAAAATGTCTTGCTTTCGCAATTTTCTGAAAGACTAAATTCTTTCCTCTTGGCATAAATATGAACAGCATGTTTGAGTGTTTTGCCTTTTGTGCTATAGTGCTTGCTGACTTAAACACTGACGTCTGGTTGCACTGACATCTGTATGAGGTCTTGAATTAGTTTGTGCCTGTTTCACTGGAATGACTTCTAATGTGTAATATCAGTTTGGTTTTAGTACATGTGTGAGACTAAGATGAGAAACATACTGTATGCGAGTATGTTCTAGCCGTGTTGTTGCAGCCGCATGGACCTGTTGTACAAAAAGTCCGCATGAAATGGTGTTCGCAACCATTTTTAATTCTGTAATGTGATTTTATTTCTAAGTGAAACAGGATATAAGAAACATGTAGGGCTAGACTATATTTTTTATCTGTGAAAATTGAAAAGTGCTATTTGTATGTGACTGGAGGGGGTTTTGGTGATGTCCACCAAAAAGGAAAATGTTTCCTTGAAGAAGAAAGCTTTTACATTGAAAAATGACCAAGACCAGAATTTAAATTTTTTTAAATTTTTAATCATTTGCAATTATGTATTGTTCACAATAAGACCATCAACATTAAGAAAGACCAAATTAAAAAAAAACTTTCTTTCTTGGTTGTCTAAATACATCTTACTGATCTTATTGTAAACGATTCATGTGTGCATATGTTTCTTTTTTTTATATATAATTATTTACCTTTAAGCCCATCATTTTAAATCAAAATGTCATAACTTAATCTTCTGGTGAGTGCCAGGGTTGTAATTGTTAACTAAAACTAAAACTAAAAGAAAACATTCATTACTTAAACTAAACTACATAAAATTAACATTATATTTTATTTTATTTTATTTTATTTTAACTAGTTGCCAATGCACCATTTTTAATGTTTGTTTAGTTAAGTTGATGTATTAAAATAATTAATATAACCAGCAATAAATTAAAACAAAATAATAATAATAAATACAAAAAACGATATAAAATGTTCAACAAAATGACTAAAACTTTTACTAAAATAAAAATGAAAACAGAAAAAATGTAATATAAAATAACATCTAATTTAAAATATTAACAAAAATTATAATCGTATAAAAGTGCAAGCTCACATTCAGGTCTGCCTCCATCCAATCAACAACTGATGGACGGATCCAATATCACAATATGGAAGAACAAATCTGTTGCTTTTTCCACGTTTTAGTGTTGAATGCCTTTAAATGCCTGTAAACTGGATGTTTAACTGTTTTACAGGGTGAAGTTGGTGATCAGGGTTACCCAGGACCACAGGGACCCCCAGGGCCAAAGGTCAGAGGTCATTCTTCCTCTGGTTTTGACACCAGAATATCGAAAAACCCACCATTATGATCCAAAAACATACTATCCTTTTCCTTCATTTTGGTATTTAAACAAGAGACATCAAGCAATATTATTTTTTACCTGTTCATTTTCTGTGTATTTATCTTCTGTTTTGCACTCTTTAGTCTCATAGGTTCAATTTCATGCAATCTTCTTAGCATATTTTTTGGATTTGATCATGTGCTTGATTTCACCATAGCCTCTGACCATTACTTAATCATTAGCAGCGTAATAAGAATGATTTCATAGAGTAATGGGCTTCATATGGATCTGACTGCTCTGTCCAAGCATACTCTGCTGCAGTATTTCTCTCTGCGATCTGTTCTGTATTAATGTAAATGCTCTGTATACGTTTGGCAGGGTGAGCAGGGAGAGCCAGGTCCTCAGGGTGACCGAGGAACCGATGGTCTGCCAGGCTTGAAGGTGAGCGCTGGGTGAAGCTCTTTCTGTTATATATATATATATATATATATATATATATACAGTGATTCCTACAAAAGACAAGACTTATAGTAAATGGGAAACATCAGTGTGCTTGACTGTATTGGTTTGATTTGGGCTTTGTATTTCTCAGGGAGATGTTGGAGAACAAGGGCCCCAGGGTGAACCGGTGAGGAACAATGCATCATACGTTTATTCAAAGTGTGCTCATTCAATTTTATGCTGACCATTGTTTTTGACTTTCATAACTTGAATGTGAGGCTTCCAGTGTCATTTGCTTTCAGTTATTTTAGCTGTACACAAAGAGTCTGTTATGCTGCTTAAAATTTAAATTTATTGTCATAATCGTAAATATGCACTGGTTTGTAGCACAAATAGCTTTCCAGTGTTTTAAAAAATTATTTAAAAAAAAATTATATTGCACCTAATTTGCGTTTAAAAATACTATAGTATTGTACACTTAGGATACAATGTATAAAAATTGAGTGTACCTTTAAAAACATAAATTGAGAAATGAACAAGCAACTGCAACAAAAGTCCATTTTGCTAGCAATGCCAAGATCATAGGTTTAATTCTCAGGTAATACATGAACTGATATAATGTATATCTTGATTGCAATGTATGTTGCTTTGGATGAAACAAAAGCAGAGAAGCACCTCTTCACATCTGAGAATACTTACATATGTGTGATCAGTTGTGTAACAGTTGTTTTGATCGCGGCAGGGCCGCCCTGGTGAAAAAGGCACATCAGGATCCGGTGATATCATTGACTTCAATGGCAAACTCTTAGATGCCTTTCAGGTGAGCCGTGATTTTGTTGATGGTAATTGCTAGAAAAACTTCCTAACGACTGTTATTTTTGCCAGTCGGTCATCTGGATTCATGTAAACGAGATGTTACTGGTTAGACTTCTTGTAATGCAATTATGTAAACAACAGATGACTATAAATTCATGGTTATATTAAAACCAAATGCCATAATATGATCTGAAATTGCAGTCAGACTTGATTTTTTTGTCTTCTGGCAGGCCATCAAAACCATCAGTGTCTCGGTAACTGTACTGTAGCACGACTTGCCATTTTTGGTTATTTCAGTTGAATGTGCAGCCTAATTATCCTTAACAAATACTCACTGTGTGTGCTTGTGAATTTAAAACAATTCATTATTATGTCAGCATATCATGCTAATTCAAAATAGATAATTCAAGATACATTTTCAATAATTCAATATAAATATTATAATCAAAGCTGGTAGCATGCATGCAACATTATGTTGTAAAATGGTGTGAAGCAAACATCGCTGACTAAATTAAATGTAAAAAATAATTAAAATAAGAATGCTTTGAAACATATTCTTTATGTAACGTACCAAGACATATTTTATAAAATTAGATGTCGTTAGTTGCAAATGTTGTTGTTCTTGTATTGAGAATGTGGATCTGGATTGTTTAATGAATGCTTCTTGCGGTTACATGTTTACATGTTCTAGACGATGCCATTCTTTGAAATTCTGTGTTTTGTCACATTGCAATTGAGAAATAGGAGGAAAAATTAGGAATTTGATCGTTTTGGACATTTGCAAGGCTTTGTGGTCATCTCTATCAACAGTATAATCAGTCTGAAATGTTTATCGAACCACAAAGCGTGACAGATAAATTGAATATGGTGACAAGGAAATGCAAAAATGTCGGCCGTAATTATGGTTTGTATCAGTCTAAAGAACAGCAATATTTCCTTCAAAGAATGCCATCAACATTGTGAAGTATCATTCAGGATGTTGTTTTCATACTCCACAAGATTTCACATGAAGAATTATATTGGAACAACATTTCCTGTTTTATAGCAGTCGTAAAATGAGGTCTATCAGAGGTTTGTGGTTCTCAAAATGCAAAGTGGTTTTGCAAAAAGACCATTTTATAAGCTTTAATTATGTCTGTTCCGCTTGCTTAACTAACAGGGACCACCTGGCCCTCCTGGACCCCCGGGACCACCCGGAAAAGAAGGTTCAAAGGTGAATATCGAAATCTGCTGAACTCCTAATGAGTGGCTCAGAGTGTGTTGTTTCCATGATTTTTGTATTTAAAGCCACACAAAGCTTGTACTAGAACTAAATGATCTAATTCATATCAATTCTGAACTTCTGTGTGTTTCATTCATCCAAACAGGGTGAACTTGGCTTGCCTGGCCCTGCTGGGGTTGATGGCGAAACGGTGATAATTGGTTCAACTCATTTACAAGAATATCAGTTGTTTTATTTTTATTTTATAGAAATATACAAAGTTTTGCAAGGACAAGCACCTACTGTATATAGAACCTACAGCATATGAGCTATTCTGATGTTCATGCAGATGAGTTGCTAATCGATATTTGGATTGTTTTGATCATCAGGGTGAAAAGGGAGACACTGGGGAGCCTGGTGAACCTGGAGACAGGGGGGAGAAAGGAGAAATGGGCCTCTCTGGTCCCTCTGTAAGTATTCAAAGTGATAAATCTTCTAAATCCAATTTATTTGTTGTCATATTATCATTTATAATATTAATCAAATGTGTTATAGGGAATTGATGGGCAGAAAGGAGAGAAAGGAGAGTCTATACTAGAAGACAATCTGGTCAGTACAATTGCACCCACATTTTTTGATTTATTTATTAATATTCTAGTATTAAGAATACAGTTATCTTTAGCTGTGGTTTTATGACTGTCTACAGGTTCAGATGATTTCACAGCCTGGACCACCAGGGCCTCCAGGTCCACCAGGACCACCTGGATACATGGTGAGGCTCATCTTAGATATGCATGATATTATGCTTTCAGTTAATTTGATAACTTAACATTGACCATAAATTCTCCCTTCTTTTTTGCCATTTATCTGCAAGATCTTGACTTTTAAGAGTGATATCATAACATCATTCAAAGATTATGACAGATATTATTTGTGTTTTAGGGTCATCGTGGCTTGTCAGGCCCCAAAGTAGGTATTTCATTTCATTTCATTTTATTTTATTTAATTTTATTTTTATTATTCAGACTTTAAACAAAGTCTATTCATTTAGTGATTTATCCTAAATTTAGTGATTTATCAAACTTTTTGTCTTGATATGAAACACGTCATCATAAAGCTAACTTAACTACTTTTTATTATTACTTCCTAATAAATGAAGATATCCAGTAAAATCATACTTCATGCACTGTATCAGTCTAACGCTGTATTGAATCTCTCATAGGGTGATCCAGGGGAGAGTATTAAAGGAGAGAAGGGAGAAACTGGTGCTGCAGGAATACAAGTGAGACCACATCTAATCCCATAATGCACTAGTCCAGGATTTAAAAACAAAAGCAATATTCACAAACACGAAACATGACTGGCCTGTGGATGTTGTGATTATGGTGTTATCCATACTCATAACATCTGTAAGCCATAACCATACCATATCCAATGTTTTATACCTATTATTATGTTTTATAGGGCCTTCATGGTCCTCAAGGGCCCCCAGGAGCAACAGGATTAGTTGGTCTTCCCGGCACAAAGGGTGAAAAGGTAAATCAAATCATAAATTCAACTAATTGCTATTTTTAATGACAATTAAGTTTGAGCAGATGTATTTGTGGGGTTTATTTCATTCTTTTTATCTCTCTTTCATTATTTCAGTATTCTCTTTTTAACCCCTCTGTGGTGCTTTATGAATGAATTTTGATTTGATTTGATAAATGTCAGAAATAATGCCTAAACCTAACTGTAAAATAATATTACATTAGTACTTTCCAGATAATCCACACATAAAATATAAATGTAGCTAAAAGTATTTTTGTTATCTTTCACAGGGAAAACAAGGGGAACCTGGATTAGATGTAAGCAGCATTTATTTATTCATTCATTCATTCTTACTGTACATACATTGATCTTTTGTTTTTCAATGGAAGTTTTCCAGCGTAATTTTGATTTTAATTTACTGTAGGGTTTTCCTGGCATTAAGGGAGACAGGGGTGACCGTGGAGAGAAAGGAGAATGGGTACTGTATGATATTTACCTCAGATAATCAATGAAGCTTTCATACATGTTCAAAAAACAGTCATTTATTTGTTTTTCTGACTGTACATAGTCCTTTACTTAAAACGATCTTGTGGATCCTCCTGTTCACAGGGAGATCGTGGACCTGTTGGAAAGAGAGGGCTCAAGGGAAAGAAAGGCGAACAGGGGCCGCCGGGTCTGGACCAGCCCTGTCCCGTGGTGCGTGTTATAGCTACTTTTCATGTTTATATGTGGTGATATGTTACAGATTCATGCTGCTGAAAATCCGGTGAAAAAACATACCGGGTAATTCTGTCAGGAACAACAAAGTGTGCTCATCTGGGAACACCGATATTTCACAGACATCTTTTTCCCTTTTCCACGTTTCCTCACCTTTCTTCTGTATGTTTCTATAGACTGATGTTCTGCTTCAGTTTCTCTTTGATTGGACTCTCTAGCGTGAGTGTGTGTGTCTTGTTTGTTTTTAGTCATTATGGCAGTGTATATTGTATATATGTGCTCTCGCTGACAGGGAGCTGATGGATGTAAAAAAGAGGCAGTGGAAACGGGGCAGCCGGCCCCTGAGGCCCCCTGCCCACTGGTACAGTATATCTGCCTGCTTCTCTCTCTGCTCTGTTTATACCTGCAGATTTCTGACACTTCCTGCTTTCGCTTTTAACTACTTCTTTTAAACTATCCTATGTCTGCCATATACATACTGGTACATTACCGTTCAAATGTTTGGGGCCAGTAAGATTGATTTATTTGAAAGAAATTAATACTTTTATTCAGCAAGGATCAAAAGTGGCTGCACAAATTATAACACGTTATTTTTCAAATAATTGCTCTTTTGAACTTTATATTCATCAAAGAATCATGAATCTGTTTTGAACTTTATATTTATTTTAAGAATCAGAGCAACTATTTTCAACTTTAATAATAAGAAGACATTTTCTTGAGGAGCAAATCAGCATATTAGAATGATTTCTAAAGGATCATGTGAGACTGAAGAATGGAGTAATGATGCTGAAAATACAGCTTTGAATCACAGGAATAAATTACATTCAAAAAAATTTTTATTTTACATTGTAATGATATTTGACAATATTACTGTTTTTAGCCTTGGTGAGCAAAAAGACTTCTTTCAAAACATTAGAAAATCTTACGACCCAAACATTTAAATGGTAGTATATATACAACACAATAGAGATTACAATTAGAGATCATTCATGTTTATTCAAGGTTTATAAAACCGAAACTGATGCATTAAATATTAACTAAGATCGACGAGAAACATTGTAACTTGTCACGCAAAATCTCATTCATATTTTATTAGTGTTACTCCATAACACGGTATTACTGTGATGAGTTTTGCAAGCATGTATTTTTTTATATTTTTTTTGTGGTGTTGTGATCCTTTGTGGAGTTTAAGTTTATTTATTTTTATTTTTTTTTAAATATATAGTATTATTAGGATTTTGTGTGCAGTGTATGCTTACAGACAATTGTGAAAATTAAAATTGATAATTTTTAAAACCATTTTAACACATGAATTTGTTAATTAAAATTGCAATACAGTTGAAACGGATTCTTTGCTCTTACACCCATTTTTTTTCTTACATTCAAGGGTCCTGATGGACTTCCAATAGCAGGTTGCTGGCACAAGGTCAGTAAAAAAAAGCATTTATGATACTTGAATATTCCATAACCATGTCTGTACAGTTCATGTGTGTGACTTTAACATTAACAACTGCCTATTTAAATGAATCGACTGCAGTGTGCATCAGTACACATGCCACATAGCTGTTTTATGTTGCAGTTTTGGATTTTTATTTTGGATTTGGCTTTGCTCATCACTAATATCATTTGTTTGTTGTTTTTTTGCAGTGATGTGTAACCTGAGGCATGTCGTCTGTACATATTGATGTGATATATATTGCAATTTCATACAGCTTTTTTCACTTTTTAAATATTTTTACATTTTATAAAGACAAGAGACTTCAATTAACATTCATCAGTGTTATTTTTTCAACCTTTTTTATCAGAAATTGTGGACCAAATAGTGGACACTGCTTTTTTTGGTGTCCATATGGGTTATTGAATTCTTGAATGAAATCTTTTTTTTTTTTTTTTTTAATTCCTGGAGCATAAAATGTCAGTATTGTTCACCGTAAGATGCCTGTAATGTGCCCGGGGAATGTTGCATGGGCATGCTGGACCGACCCGCTCAACTGGTGCCAATACAAGAATTTTGCATCATATCCCCTTTTATTTTCAAAGGAACAGGGAATGCTTCAGAAACTCAAGAGGAAACATCTCTCCCAGCCTTGATTGTCTTCAAGACCCCGAGGAGTTTAAATGACTTTACAGTCCCTCAAGTGACGGCATCTCAATAATATTGGTTAATATTGACTGTCCTCAGTATGCAGGTCGAATGAGGGTGCAGACAGCCCTCGCTATGGTCAATATTTTTCATGGAGGAACATAGTTGAGCTCTTGGAGATGATAAGAGATCAAGGATTGGCCTCATGGATGCAGTTGCTCCACAAGACAGCAACAGCAGCCTGATATCTTTGGCATCGGAGATGATACTGAACAGATCCTTATTTTGAGAATATCAATGAACAGTAATTTATAATGATTTATTTCTTGTGTTACTGTTTTATGCTTGTTTTTTTGTAGTTTTTAACCCGCAAGCAAAAGCACAAAGCATCTGGAATTGACGCCCAAAGACTAACTTTGGATGGCGAGCATTTACTTATTAATGCATAAATCATTGATAACAAAATAAACACTACATCTGTTTTAAATTAGCGCAGCATATAGTGAGTGAGAATAGAATGTTATATCGTACCTGTTTATTTACTACTGCATCTACATGTTGGTCACATTTGTTGTGATACTTCGAGATAGAGTATATGTTGACTGTGACTACCTGCCGTTGTTTTTAACATCACAATCCTTGATACGTATTCCATATTATTGTTCATAGTAATTTATGATATATATACTGAAGTGCTTTTTGAAGATGGCCAAAACTGGAGGTGTTTTCATAGCCTCAGTTCAGCCATTATGAGGACTCAAGTTTAAGGCTGTTTTTATGTTTGACAAAGTATTGCTCTATTATCTTTCATGGCATGAAAGCATAGAAAACATTAGAGATTCCATTTTATCGGTCTCATTTTCGTTCTTTGGCTTTCCAAGATTTAACACAGAGAAAAAACATCCAGAAGAGATGTTTTTTTAAGGCATTTTAGCATGTTCAGTATACATTTCCATGATGGTGTACCCTCTTTCAGGGATTTAAAACCATTCTACATAAGCTTTTCTGAAATATTTATTGTTCGTATTAAATAACTGGTGGTCAGATCATGTAAAAGTTCTTATAATGCATATATGTTACAGATAATGCATTTGAATTTTTATAAGCCTGTCTTTGGTGTTAAATGGCTGACAAAATGTTGCTATGTTACTATGTTGTGATTTACATAACTGTAAAAAAAAAAATTTGATTGACCAACAGCATTATAGCACCGTTTTAGAAACAAAACAGAATGGGAGGACATTTTCGGAACATTTTATTGCTTAACTTTTTGTTTTTCCTTTGAATTTCTTTACAGGTGTTTTTTTTTTCCAAACACAAATAATGTTTGATTTTGAAGATACAGAAAGATGATTTTGAAGATATTTTGCTGCTGAAACAGTATTTGTATTTAATAGTTGAAATGGGGTAAGGAAAACAGCCTTACCGACTGCCTGACAGCCATTACATGCATTGGTTTGCTTTCAAAGATGTTTTATAAAATAGAAATTAAAGTTTGTTACTAGTAAATTAGTAAAAACTCTTTCCTTTGACCTTGGTCATGGTCAAAAAGTGTGTGGTGTTTCAAAAGTTCTCCACAATCCACTGTAAACTCACATTCAGACTGTTTCTCTGACACTTTTCATGGTCAAATCAATTCCTAATGGATGAAATCAAATCCTGCACTTTTTCATCATTGCATGAATATTCTGTTTCACTTGGAAACTGTCACAGTGCGCAAGTAATGAGTAAGAGTGCAGTTTTCTGTTGACTTTAAATGCCAAGGTAATTAAACAGGTTATGACATAAGATTTTTTGAGGTTTTGACATATAAAAATGTTTGTAACATTTAAACATCCTGCAGGTTTCATAACTTAAAATATCTTCCTCGTTATAAATAAAGCATTTATTAAAGCTCCAAAAATGGCTCGTTTAGATATTGTGGGATCTGTGACGTCATATGGACAAATATATTTGCATATGATCATCCATTATAAGCCCCACCTACGTGTGTTCACCAGATGCAAATTAAGCAAATCTAACCAATTATAATCACTGGCGCTGTATATTGGATATGGTGTACACTGTGCATTAATTTTCTGACATACTCCACGCGCTTGAGTCTGCTGACAGCAGAACAACTTGGTGGATTATATGTTTATTCTGAGCATTTGACTAAATGATGTTTTATTAACAAAGTTCGGGAGGAGTGCGTCAGATACTTAGCCTAATTAACACAAGTGGAGCGCACTCAAGTTAATCAACACCAATAGGTATAAATACTGCTGACTTACCTCTATCCATTGATGGTTTATCAGCATCCCTCCACCGCCCCATCTCCTCACTTCGAGTTCTTACTACACCTATACGGTGTACTTCAGTACTTCAGCTAATTATATGTTAAGTGTGAACTCGTGAAAGATTGTTTTGTGAACAAAGCACAGTGTAATGGAGAGTTCGTAAAGAAACTCTTGTTGAAAGATAAAGCAGCCAACTGTATTGGATCTGACATCAGCTGCATCGCAAACCGTAAGTAAAGAGTTTCATAATGCTTTGTTTGTAAATGACGGTTTTATATGGATAGAATGTTTTTAAAACATGCACTGGCGTGCTATAGCAAGGGGGTGTTGATATTATTTTCTATGCAATGATGTTAGCCAATCATAACAGTGGTAGTTTACAGTCAAGCCTTAAAGGAACCACCCCTTAAAAATGGATCATAAGGATCAAAATGAGGGTTGGAAATTTAGTACATCAGTGACAAAAGTCTTTGAAAAAACAAAGGGCAGGTTGCTGGTCTGGAACCTTCAGGTGTGTGTTAACACAATGCTAAAGAGGAAAGACATCAGCAATGATCTTATAGTAGCAATTGTTGATGCCTTCAATCTGGGAAGGGAAATACGGCTATTTTCCAACAATCTGAAGTCCATCATTTCACAGTGAGGAAGATTATTCACATGTGGAAGACATTGAATCTTCCCAGGAGTGGACATCCCAGGAAAATTTACCCCATGGTCAGACTTTACAATACTCCGTATAATAGATAGTATACAATAGAAATGGCAGACAACCCAACAACTATACCTCAAACTCTACAAGACTCAGTTAACATGTTAAATGATAAAGTTTGTGACAGTACAATTAGGAAAAGACCAGAAAGTATGGTATGTTAGGAAGAGGTGCCAGAAGAAACAAACATCTCATACTAAAATTCACACATGCTGGTGGAGGGCTATTCTAGAGTCAACTCTGAGCCCATCCATCCCGACAGCTAAAGCTTAGCCAAATGTTCAGCAGGACAATGATCCCAAACACACCAGCAAATCTACAACAGAACGGTTGAAAAAGAAAATAATCTAAGTGTTGCAATAGCCCAGTCAAAGTCCAGACCTCATCCTGACTGAAATGCTGTGGTGAGAGCTGTGCATAAACAAATGCCCACAAACCTCAACCAACTGGAGCACCGTTTTAAAGAAGAGTGGGCCAAGAACGATGTTAGAGACTGATAAAGTCATACAGAAAATGATTACTTCATGTTGTTGCTGCTAAAAAGATCTAATATGTCCTGCCAAGAACCAGAAGATTTTTTATAATAAATACAGCTCATGAAAGTAAAAAATCCAGTATTCAGGTCATTCAGTGACCATCCCTACAGTATAAATTCTGGGTATCTCTTGTTCTTTGAAACCACAATAATGGGGAAGACTGCTGATTTGGCAATGGTCCAGAAGACAATCATTGACACCCTCCACAAAGAGGGTAAGTCACAGAAGGTCATTACTGAAAGGGGTGGCTGTTCACAGAGTGCTGTATCAAAGCATATTAAATGCAAAGTTGACTGGAAGGAAGAAATTGGGTAGGAAAA